CAGGAATGCTCTGGAGCACTTTTAATCAGTGTGCCATAGTTCTTGCAGATGTTTCATTCTTTGACGGTCTTAACAGTAACCTTCGCATGAGGAGCAAGCCCATCTTATGACTTTCCCATCAAAATACTCATGTTCACCGCTAACGTGCCATGCATCCTACTACTGAGTTAACCAAGTAATTGTTCCCCAAAAGCCCCCATCCATTAACGATGACCTGCTGCCACTGATAGCACTTACAACTAATGACCAATATTGAAAAGAGACCTTACCTTAGCTCCAATTTGGTTCCCACACTGCCCGATCTGAAGATGCACAATTTCACGCATTTTGTGTAGCTTAGGCCTGTTGGTGGCTAAACCAAACCCAGGCTTCCTAGTCGCAGTCCTGGGCACGAGCTCTCTTTCTGCTGCTGCTGTATCAGCTACACGCAGTGCGGTCCGCCCCGAGGGGCCTTTTTATACCAGTGGGACTGTAGCTCAGCCAGCGTGGGGAGTAGCCCGCTCCTGGGGCTGCTCCGCAAAGCACCTCGCAAGGAGGCAAAGTGCCTCTTCGCTGCCCGGGGACGGGGTACGGGTACATTACTGAGTGGATTGGAAAAGAAAAGTGTCACACGCACCCCCTTACAACTCATTCCAGTTCTCTGTGCGGCAAACAGCGTGACTCATGAATATCTGTGCACATTGTATCTGTGTTTCATTATTTTATACATTTTATATGTACAAATACCTATCCATATATAGAGATTATAGCCTAAAATGAGTGAACTTAATTTATTAAGTACATGTGCTTCTGCCACATAATTTAAATATCATATGCATCGTACAGGACAACAGTCATCATAAAAACAATAACTTTTGAGCAGTAGCCCTCCTATAATCACATCATTCAGCACATTGCCAGGCAAATTTGCAGTGCACTAATAAGCATCATTCTCAGTCTCTAACTGTGTGAAGGAGGGGTAACAGGACAGGATCAGTAACAAAAAAACCACTCTGTAAAATACAACACTGCACTCTCAGTGATGTGTGTTCCTTAAGCATTTAATAAGAATCCATCAGTTCCAGCCAATCTAAAATCTGAACCACCTTGTGACTAACTCGCACAGATGGTCTCTCTCTTCCCTTCTCTCTTTCTCTCTCTTCCTTTCCTGCCATGAAGAAATACAGTATTTCTTATTTTTCTTATTTTCTTATATCTGAGATGTAGTATTTCAGAACTTGCCAGGCAAATGCCAGAGGTGAAACCCCAGTTCCACTGACGCTAACTATAGAGTTCACTGTGTGAAATGTTTCACTGCATTAAAGGAAACGATGCACGGCTGAGCAAAACATGACACAGCCGTGTTGCCTGCTGATAAACAGGACTAATATCACTGAGCAACAGAAACCCAGAATGGGCTGTCTTCTGGAAGCTTATATTAGTTTTATTACATGTCAGATGACTGTCAGTGCTTTGCAAGTGTTCCTTTTAAGGACAGGAAAAGGAACTATAATTAGGAAAGCACCTTAAATTATTTTGTACAAAAAGATGACAGTGGAAGGACTTGACTCACTGAAAGTAACTACTTCATGGGTTGCTAGAGATAAGGAATCTCTGAGCTTCCATATTGTTCCAAAAGAAAAATCAGCTTATTCCAGACTTCCCTGCCACAGATGACTTCCATTTCTTCACCAGCCAAGGGAGGAACAGACAACTGCTCCTAAGACAAAGCTTAGCACCAGAAATGCATGGCAAAAAAAGAACTAGTGAACATTCTGTCATCCTCTGCCAAGGGATGAGCCGTCCTCAGTAGGGAGCAATAAAAGCAAGACTTTAAATTCAGGTAGATTGATTTTGTTTCCTTAAAACACAATAGTTTTATAATTTTCCAAAGAATAAGTATTCTCTAAACAGTTTAGTTTACTTAGCAAGACAACATAACAGTTACGTTCCATCGTCACGTTGTAGATATTTCCCACAATGGCAGTGGATATCTTCTACAATTTCCTAGGACAAAATTCTGGAAAGGTTATTTGGACATTTGCTTTGAAAGCAAACTTCATTTTATTCATGCACATTTCATAATTGTTTTCTGCAGTTACGCTTAGCTAAAAGTTGCAGTGCAGTTCTGAGTTGTATATGCAATTGCTGCACTCTGAATGGGAGCTGCATTGGCACAATGTCAGAGCTACGACAGCAAATAAATACTACTTATAATATTCAATGCATTAATCTACAATAGCCACAATCTATGAAGTACCTGAAGATGCTAATTCACGGTCAAAAAAATTTGGCAAAATAATTTCAGCAGTAAATATACTCCAACTCTAACCATTCTATGATTCTATATTCACAAGCAAAGACAAAAAAAGGGAAATTAAATAAATATGCAATCACTTAACATTGGGTTTTCTCTTGCTAAAAATAGTTCCCTGGAATCATGTACCTCCTCTGAAGCACTTCCTAACAGAGTCTGAATGGTTATGTCCCACCACACTCAGTGCCTGAGGTGCTGTGTGCAGCGGAGATGGGTTTGTGCCTCTTTTCCCCCTCCTCCCCAAACTGCAGCTCCGTCAACCCCCGACCCTGCCTTTGTGCCGGACGTGGTGTACGGAAGGCGCGTTGCTCTGCGGGTTTTGTTTGCAGGCCTGCTGTCGCCGAGCTCTGAGACAGCTCAAGCCCGGAGCTGCCCACGGCGCTCCCGGCCATCACACAGGAGCTGCCGCGGACGAGTGCTGTGAGCGTCGCAGCCAGGAGCTGCTGGGGTCGGGGGACCTGTGGGGACGCGGAGCAGCCTGGCCCTGGGCACAGCTATTCCCCCCTGTCCCGCCATGCCTGTTATCGGGCTGCCCACCGCCCCAGGTACCAACGCCCCGGCACTGGGCGTAAGCTAAGGCTGCGAACAAGCCAGGCTTTTTTGGTTACTGGGGTTTTTTTTGCTTCTGCTTTTCTCGGTTGATGTTTTTTTTTTAATGCCACCACAGAACCCACTGGCAACAAACACGCATGCGCCAGGAGGCATTCACCGATACTTTTTTTTTCCTATGGTTTGCTTGGGGGGAACTAGCTTGCCACAGCAGCAAAGCAGACTGCTGAGAAGAAAGCCGATTCAGTTTGAGATACGCCTGGCTACAGCGCACCAGGTACTTTGAGTGGGACCTGTGAACGGTCACCCGACGAGCTGATGCTAGCCTCAACTAATCTGGGGTACATCAGGAATGCTGCCAAAAACCTGTTGCACTCAGCAGGCAATAAAGACTGCCCGCTTCACGCTTTCAGTTCACTCGGTAAGAAAAACTATTTAAAGACCGCCTCCCTCCGTCTGGCAGGAGGGCCAAAGCAGTTACCGTCAGCGTAATGAGCCCGTATGTTTAAACCAATATGTCTCAGTACAACCAGCGTAGACAACCGAGCAGCTCGTTACCTTCCCCGCACCGCAGGTCTGCGAGCCGGCAGAAACGGGGCTTTCAGCATGGGAATTCACCTGCCAGGCCGTGCCTCGCCTGGGCCCCACTGCCACAACCGCGGCTACTGCTGCGTTTGGATCGTTTGATGGGTTGCCCGGGTCGCTGCACGGCGGCCAGGCCGCTCTGGCGCTGCTGTCCATCTTGGCCCATTGGTTCTCAGGACCTCAGCGTCCCCATCATGATGTGGGGCTAATAATGCCTTTTATAGAGTGCTGAGAGCCAAGGAAGAAAAGCTACGAGGGAAGAACTGGCTGTGGTTTACTAAATGTGTTTACCAAACACGCAAGCGCTAGCCAATGTGTGGAAAATAGACACTAGCAGTCCACCCACCCAGACCTTCTGCCGGAAATGAGAAAACTATCTTTACTATTGATGAAGTCTTGTAGCAGGTAA